GGCGTCGCCGGTCCCCGCACCAGACCAGGGGGGCCCCCGCCTCTTGCGGACCTTGGAAGGCTCCGGGGAGCCCCCAGCCTGGTCCCGGGAAGAGGCGGAGGGCTGGGTGGCAGCGGATGGCTGGCTCATACCGTGCCAGGTGCAGGGTCTGCTGGCTGGGTGCTGGCAGGCTTGCACCTAGCACGGGCACCGTAGCCAGACCGTGCCCCTTTAAGGGCTCCAGGGCCAGGAGGGGGGCAGAAGAGTTTCCCTGGTGGTGCCCAGAGTGGACACCAGGGCAAGCTGGGGAGGGCTAGCCTCCCACTAGTTCGAATTAAGTGGCTACACAGCCCTTAATTCAAACTGCTTAATTCGAAATAGGCGTTAGTCCTCGTAGAATGAGGTTTACCTAGTTCGAATTAAGCGCTCCGCTAGTTCAAATTAAGTTCAAACTAGCGGTTTGTATGTGTAGCGCCTATTAAAGTTACTAACGTCTGTTAGTTCGAATTAACTTTGTAGTGTAGACATACCCTAACTGTGTATAACTAAAAAACTATGTTGCTGAGGTGGGCAGCGTGACTGCTATACTCCATCTCTGGCCGAGGACAGTAGAGAAGGAACTGAAGAGCCCGGATCGTGCATGTGCTATTTATACAGCTTGTCGGGCAGGCAAAGCGCACACACAGCCGGAGGGGAGGAAGGGGATGCATTGCTGAGAAAATCTCCGATCAAAGGCACTGGGATGCACCTTGACCTGAGTGGAGCACCCTCAGAGACATCTCTCGAAGGAGAATGATCAGGTCCCACTGTAAACCTAAGGAAATGGCTATGCCCAGGAAAAACTGCAATGTGAAAGTATGTGCCCTTTAAGTCAAGAGTGGCATACCACTTAGATGATATGTAAGGGGCTTGGAGACCATCTGGCTACCCATGACTATTAAAGTACTTTGACTAAAAACCTGACTTGAGTGCCTTTGTATTTTATTTGAGTTTGCGGTTTTGGGGGGCTCTCGTGAAGTCTACTATGCTAGCTACTTGCACAGGGCTGGCATGGTATACTGAGGGACCATACAAAAATGCACACAGCTCAATGTTTATCATCACTGACAGAGCAGAAGACCTGTCAGGACACTACTGGTAAGTAAGTGAGCTCTCCACTGCATGTTCCTATCTGATTGCCAATTTAAATGTTTTATGCATTTGTCTAGTTTTTTATTTATAAAACATTTTATTGTATTATTTTATTCCTACAGTGGACAGCTCGCTAACTTACCAGATCAGCGGTCGGGGTCACCAATGTAGTAGGTCAGGGCAGCAATGTTGTAAATTTACATATTTCATGTGCTTTTAGCAGTGCTAGCAGTTCTAGTGCTGAGAACTACTGATTTGCAGGCAAACATCTGTTTTTGACATTGCCTATTACTCATAATATAACTTTTGCTTACTTTGGTGCAAAGACTAGGCCCATACTTTGGGCTCTTTCTTTCTCCTACAGAGACTTTCTGCCAAATGACACACACCAGCTTGCAGGAGGCAGCAGAAGGTTCCAGCACGATCACCAGTGGCAAGAACGCACCAAGGGTGGGGTGAGTGCACAGCTCCCCTTAGACCATGCCATGGAGGCATCACTCCAGGGATTGCTAGAGGCCTTCTCCTATAGAGTACTGCTAAGCGAGAAACTTCCAGCATCGGTGCATGTGATGAGCATGCACACATCTACTGTGGGATGGAGATGACTGATCATTCAAAGAACAATCTAGATTTTTATTTTTCTTTGTTTCCTTTTTAGCATTCTATCACCTGAATGGGTTAAATATGCCCTCCAGTTATACATTCTTGTAAAAATAACTAATGAAAATGTTCCAGGATTTATTTTTAGGTAACAGATAACTGTATTTTTTAATTTACTAAAACAATCATGGTTTTGCAGTACTTTAACTCCAAATACTTCACTACTGTGTTGGAGCATTAAAATTTGATAAGGAAACTAATTAGAAAGAAGTGGCCAACTAATATATTTTCTTTGCTCAAAGTCAGTAAAATGCAAGAAAATCAAGAGGACTATAAAAAATGAAAAGGAAATTTAGTTTACTAAAAGAAATGTTAAAATCTAGATATTGACGTAGCTTCCTGGAGCAGGGTCGATCTTCTCATTATGTATATGCACATAGTACTTACCACAGTGGGGTCCTGACCACTCACTGGGGCATCCTAGCCCCTACCACAAGCACATTTGTAACATATACAAGGAAACTTATGAGTGATTGACAGAGGTGCAGTCACAATTTGAGTGATTGACAGAACTCCGGTCACAATTTGGTTCTTTTGTTTTCTTTAAATATGCTTCTCAACCTGCCATTTAATTTTGACTCACCACAGCATTCTGTGGGTTTGCCTGCTCATCATGCATCTCCTGGATCTCCTGTTCTGTGGAACCATTGACTTGACTCAGCACACTGAACCAATGGCTGCAAGAAAAAGGTAAACACCAGCATGACAAAAGGCTCACAACCAAGAAACCTCTTTATCACCTTTATGGCCTGTAGAAAAGCAACAGGTTCTACAGGTTTCCTGAACTGCCTCAGAAAGAACTTAAAAAACAACAAATAGTCTGGTAGCACTTTATAGACTAACAAAATATGTAGCTAGTATCATGAGCTTTCGTGGGCATAGCCCACTTCTTCAGATGACCGGAGTGTTGGATGTCCAAAACCAAAAATAAGGAAGGGGGGGGCGGGGAGGAGAGACGAAAAAAATGGAAGGGGAGGGTGTGACGGGACGAGCAGGCCCCCCACTAAAGGGCTGGGAGTAGCCCAGGCCCAACTGGCTGAGACTCCCAGCAGAGCCAGCATATAAAGGCGGAGGGAGCCCAGCAGGAGGAAAGGCAGCTGGAGGCTAGAAGGACCGAGGCCGCATCCCCAGTGTTCCTGCAGCAGCTGACGCCAGAGCGAGGGCCCGCGTCTGGCGCCAGGAGTACTGACAGCAACCAGCTCCGCCTGAGAGACCGGAACCCCTACGCCTCCAGCCCTGGCCCCGGTAAGAACCGCCGCTGAGGCAGACGGATTATAGGGACGCCAGGGGGTAGGAAGCAGCCCAGGGCATGGGATTGCTACCACAGCTCGGTGTGTATCAGATGGAGTCCCCACCAAGCAGGCAGCGGCAAGAGTCCCTGCCTACAGGGCCCTGGGCTGGGACCCGGTGGAGAGGGAGTGCCCGGGTCCCCCTACCACGCCTTTCCGCACCCGGGGAAATCACCCCGACAAGGAGAGGCCTTTTCCCGGAGCTAGGCCTCTGGTACCATATATGCCCTGAGAGAGGGGCCTGGACTTTTGTACTGGGACTCTGGTACAGTAGATGCCCCGAGTGAGGTGCCGGGACCGAGACGCGGGACCCTAGAAGGGGGACGCATCCCACGTCAGGGGCGTACCCCCCAACAGGGTGGAAGAGGCAGTGGCTATATAAATAGCAACGGGAAAGCAGAGCAGCATGTAACAGGCAAAACTGATAGTCTATAAGCATATAAAGACTGGATAGTTAAAAGAAGCAAATAAGAGCCATTAGTTAGCAATTAGAGAGGAAGAGTACGAACACCAGATTCTACAGAGACAAAGAACCATTGACACCTTCATTGTTTGATTGATTGATAATGTGGCATGAGAATTAAACTTATGAATGAACTGTAGTTCTCTGTTTTTTGTTTGTTTTACAACATTGGATGTTCACATCTCAAATGACTTCCCAAAATCCTGATGTAGTAATGCTGTGTTTGGACACTTCTTATTACTATACAGCTAAATTTTTTTTATATAATCTGGTATTTAAATCCTCTATGCATCTGGCATGGGAAGATGAAGGACAAAAAACTTCACACACTTTTCCGTAGTGTGAAAGTAGGCCAAACTGTATTATAAAAGTAGAATGAATTAAAGAAATGTTGTTTGTTCTTCTAGCAGGAAGAGAGATGTAAAGGTAAAGTTGTTTGTGTGTAAGCAGGAAGAAGGATGTTAAGGCAGAGGACAATGGTTCCACTTATTAAGGGTGATAGTGGGACATTAACAGGAGATTGGTGAGAGTTACTAAGGAAATGAGATACTTGACTGACCCCATGTAACTTTGTCAATTAGCGCCCTTTTTCAATCCTTTGTCTGCTCTACTCTTTTATCTGTATAAATAAGGTGACTTGGGTTTGTGTGGGGGTCTCACTTTTTCTGGTTGTATTAGCGAAGCGCTTTGCTAATAAGACAGAGTGGTCTACAAAAATCGTGAGTCCTGACTCAACTTTGACAGTAGTTAGTAGCTAGGCAAAAGTCAGCCTATGCTACATTGCTTTGGAAAAAAGCTCTGAAGGTGGGCCAGTATCAATTTATTCCAATCCAGTAGCCAGGTATCTCCAAATAGCAAGAGTTGCTATTCCAAACGGCAATCCTGAGTAGCAACTACAGTAGGGATGAAGTTCAGCCATGTGGTCTGTCTTTGGGATATATTTAATCTACTTCTAGTCCCCGCACAGTTAGAACTTGCATACCTTGTTCAATCGCCCTGAAATATGAACACTGAACCTGACCTGTTATGAAGGTTTCCTAAACATCATTCTTTGACAGTGTTATAGACTAACACAACTACGCCTCAGTAATTCTTTGAGATATTAGCTTGCCATTCTAAAGATACTTATCTAAGGGCCTCATTAGAGGAGTGAGGTTCTGGAACGGCCTTCCAAGGGAAGTAGTGGGGGCAAAAGATCTATCTGGCTTCAAGATTAAACTAGATGGGTTTATGAAGGGGATGGTTTGATGAGATAACAGGATCTTGGTAACTAATTGAACTTTCATTATCAGTGGGAAATAGGTCAATGGAGGGATGATAGGAGTTACTATAGAGAACTTTCTGGGTGTCTGGCTGATGAGTCTTGCCCACATGCTCAGGGTTTAGCTGATCGCCATATTTGGGGTCGGGAAGGAATTTTCCTCCAGGGTAGATTGGCAGAGGCCCTGGAGGTTTTTCGCCTTCCTCTGTAGCATGGGGTACAGATCACAGCTGGAAGATTCTCTGCATCTTGGGGGCTCCAAGTATTTGAAGGCTTCAATATCTGAGATATAGGTGAGAGGATTATTCTAGGAGGGGGTGGGTGAGATTCTGTGGCCTGCACTGTGCAGGGGGTCAGACTAGATGATCATAATGGTCCCTTCTGACCTTAAAGTCTATGACTAAAGGCCAACTTTCAAAGGGCCTCGATCCCAGCTTCCAATACTACATTTTCACACTTTTTGCACCTCCAGTTTTTCAGGTGCAGAAGTTGTGTATGCATGAACATTTTCTATGAAAAACTGTGGGTTTAATTTTAAAGGCCTCTGAAAAAAAACGGTTACTTACCTTTCATAAATTCTTCAGGATGTATTGCTCATGTCCATTCCAACAGATGTGAGTATGCACCATATGCACAAATCTCACAGAATTTTTCTTTAGAGGTCAGGTTGGCTGTGGATCCCCTCCTAGCACGGTGCCTCTATGGAACGTTACACAGAATACTGCAGACCCCTCACAGTTCCTTCTTGCCCAATTATTCCAACAGAGGGGAGGTGGGTAGAATTTGGAATGGACACAAGCAACTAATCTTAACGTACAACCGTAATGAAAGATAAGTAATCATGTTTTCTTCTGCGAGTGATTGTTCAATGTGCATTCCAATAGGTGACTCCCCAGCTAGTTCCATGGAGGAGGGGTCAGAGATCACCTGGTTGCTGCTTGTAGGACCAGCCTGCCAAAGGCCACATCATCTCAATCCACTAGAGCCTTGTTGACTCTCGGGAGATGGCTGGCCTCCAGATGGATATCGTAACTGATGCAAAAGTCCCTGAGATGAAGTGCTTTGGCATAGAGCCAAGGACTGCACCCAGCTCTCTCATCTGTTGATGAAAAACATGGAGGCTGTATTGTCCATGTAGACTCTCACCACCTTGCCCAACACCTGAGCAAGACTGCGCAGACTAGCCGAACTGCTCTGAGCTCTCTGACATTTATATTGAGCTTTGCGTCCTCCAGGGTCCACACGCTTTGGAGCAGAGATCACCTAGGATCTGCAACAGGAATCCAGTGATCAACACCTTCCAATGCTCCCTCAGTACCAGGATCAGGATCAGACCCGGAAAAAAGATCTCCAATCCGAAGACCTTCTCAACCCAGACGGAAGTCAAGAAGGGTACTGGTGTCGGCGTGATGATGAATGTTGGTAATGCACTGGGCAGCCTCAAGAGTGATACTGAGGTCTTTGGGATACTGGGCACTGAACTCGGTGTGATCCATAGATGGCCTGTTCACAGGATGTTGTCTGAAGGTGTCACTCATTGGAGCCCTGAGTCCTGCCTCCTGCACTTAGGATTGCATGTGGAGCCCTTCTCCCATTGTCCAATACTTGAAGGCTGTGCGTCAAGAAGTACTGGATGACAGCACATTGGGTGGAGATCGGGGCTGCTGGGAAGGTGATGCCCACATCAGGCCCAACATGGACTTACCCCTAGAGCTGTGCTGGTGCAGATGGGACTAGCAGAATCAATATGTCCTGCACTGGCCGAGGACAGTGGCCTTTATTACTACTCTGCGTTGCTGGAGTGGGATGGGAAGAGTGTGGCCACTTTGCCTGAGCCAGTCCCTGGTTCCCTGAGGGGGTTGATGATCTGCCTTGAATGGGTCTGGGCTCTCTTCCCATTTTCCCCCTACTGCTATGGGCTCTTAGGGATTGTCCCCTCACCAGTGTCTTCACCTCCCGTGCCGGAGATTGTAAGGGGGAACGGTATTGCCCCAATGAGGGCACCGAGGGAGTGCCTTGCACAGAGGCCTGAATCTCACGTGGTCTCCAGTGTCAGAGCTAGCTTGGATTTCATCAGGAGAGCTTTGAGGCAAACGTCTCTTTTTTAGTCTGAGGTTTAAATGACTTGCAAATGTGCTACATTTACACTTATCGCCAATGTGCTACATTTCCAAACATCTCAAGCAGCAGTTATGGGGATCACTAACAGGCATCAGGTTTTTGCATTCTAAAATGGTTTAAAACCTGGGGATCTCCCCGTCCCAAGGCTAAGTTCTGTCCAGGACACTAACTAGAATGACTAACAGTGTCTACACAAACATATTGCCTATGCAGCAAGAAAAGAAGCTGTCAATAGCACAGCAGCTCTGATGCACAGTCACTGGCGGCAGGAAGGTTCTGAGGCTGAGGGAGCACGCAGTGCTCCTTGTATGCACTATGGAGGCACCACTCCGGGGATCGTTAGGGCTGCTCCCCCACAGATACTTCTGAGGGAAAAACTTCTGGCACTGGTATACGTAGTGAACACACCCATACCTTATGTAGAATGGACATGAGCAAGTAGTTGAAGAAGAACCTTAATTATTCTCTTACTTTTGAATGCTTGTATTTTTGAAAATGTTGTGATTGGCAAATATGTTATTGTCACTCAGGAAGTGCAGGTAGATTTTAAATTAAGATTTTTAGATTTGGAATATAAAATTGATCTAGCAGTTTCGGCCAGTGAAACTATGGTTATCAAGTTTTCCTTGCTGCTGCCAAGGATTTGTATCTGATTCTAAAACCTTTTAACAGCTGAGCAGATGGAGATCAAGTGCTTTGCTTTCACAAAAGAGAAGAGCAGTCTTCTCTTTTGTGAATGTGAGTGGACGCCTCCGAATTACAGTGATCTCATGAATTCTCACATATGAAAAGTTTTCAGACTCTAATTCTGCAAAAAGTATAGGAGCCTGCCAGACTGGAGCTTTATTTCAGACAGTAGAGAGTGGATGCATTGCATCAATTTTTTAAGCAGATGAAGAAGGGACTGAGAAGCATAAAAAATAGACGTGGCCAAAGAAAATCACCCTGTACAGGCAATAGAATATTAAAGGAAGCCAGAGGGAGCAGGATAGGAAGCCACATACAGCCAAATCCTAGTTCTCATCATCGGTAATACGACTCTTTTCTGTACCATACTGCCATCGGCATCCTTGGTGGCTGCAATCCTCAGCTGCCTCAGAAGATCTTTGCAAAGGGAAGTTAATGTACTGTGTTTAATAGTGCTGGCCAATATCTCCAGAGACCACATGTCAATACATTGCTGCTGTTTTTTGCAAAAGTTAGAATGATATGGAGATGAAAAGTTTAATAATTATCTCACCTAGCATCTTCAGGAGTCTCAGCAATCAAGTGGTAGGTCCGGTCGGCCATTACTATGTCAATCCCATTTTCTTTACCGGTATTATCAACAATCTCTCTGATATGGACAGAAATGCCAGAATTAAAGCAGGAGTGATACTGCAAGCACGGTGACAATGCTCTTCTTAAGAGTGGCTTAGGTACTATTATTTCAGAATAGCGTTCACTTGTTTTACCCTGATTCACTTAAGATGTACAATGCGGATTCCAATTTCACCAAAACAATGTTTTTCATAGCCATTGTAGCCGCTGTCAAAGTTACCCATGTTCAAAGTACTACGAAACTTCACTTACTAAAGTGGACTTTAAAGAGGGGGAAGAGAGCCAAAAGAAAACATAAGGACTGACCCTGACTCCTTAAAATATTCAAGGGGTTGTTGAAAATGCCAGAAATGCAGACCAAGATTTTCAAATGTAATGTGATTGTGTCTAATCTGGCCACCCAAAACCTGACAAAAGACACATTAAAGAGGCCTGATTTCAGAGAAGTGCTAAGTACCCACCCCCTCAAAACCAAACCTTCAGAAGTGTTTCAAGACAGGCATGAAAATATCAAGGTCCCCCCAAAATCACAAGCCATTTTTTAAAAGTCTTGCCCTGTGTGTTTAAAGCATTATAGAAACTTAAGTTATTTCCATGTACTGTTGAACATTTCCCAAGGCTTAAATGGTAACTTTTTTTGGCTTTTTGTCCTGCCACCCATTTAAGTCTAAAGCTTATTTTTCCCCTTGTTAATTAACTAAAACCTCTTTCCCATGACATTTCTGATGTACCCTTGTCATCCAAATACAGATAAAACAAAAAGCAATTTTAAGTGAAAGAGAATATTATCCCATGTTTTGTCTTTCCTGAATTTTATTTTTCTCCTCCTTACTATGATGTTATCCTATTTGCCTTTAAATGAAGTAGCACTAGATTTCATTCTCTTTGAAGAAAGTTCAGATGTATTAAGAATCTGATCACTAATTAAACAAATCTCTGAAATTCCTATTCCACTGCTTAGAAACTACACTTTATTTTTTTGTTCCACATAGACCTTTGAAAATACAAATCCCTTTTGTTATTTTGTGTGTTTATAAAAGAGAGGTTACTCATCCCGTGCAGTAACGATTGTTCTTTGAGATGTGTCCCCGTGGGTGCTCCATAGTTAGTGTCGGGCTCGTCCCGGCACAGAGCAGTGATTGGGCGGGCTGTGCATGCGCGAGTGGAGAGTTGTGCTTCTGCCTTTGAAGTAGTGCGCTCAGCCTGCTTCTCCTCCATTTCTTCTTTGACGCCCTCGTGGGCTGCTATTATTGTCTGAAGAAATGAGGAGGAGGGCGAGTAGTGGAACACGCATGGGAATACACATCTCAAAGAACAATCGTTACTGCACAGGGAGAGTAACTTCACTTTCTTCTTCAAGCGATGTCCCCATGGGTGCTCCACAGTTTGTGATATGTGCTGGGAAGACTGTGTGCCCATTCAGATGGATGGTGGGCTTCAATGAATTGCTAAGATTGTGGAGAGAACCGCATTGGCTCCTGCAGTATCTCTTGTGGAGCATGGTGGAATAGCGGAATGCTTTATGACGGTGAGATTAGACAACCATGTCACTGCTCTGCATACTTCCTGGAATGAGACTCCCTTTAGGAAAGCAGCTGATGTCGCCATAGCTCTGGTAGAGTGGGCCTTTGGATTTGTTGGTAATGCCCTATTCTGGAGCAAGTAGCAGGTATTAATGCATGATGTTATCGGCTTTGATATGTGCTGGGAAGACAGTGGTTTTCCCTTGGACCTTTCAGCCAGGGATACCAGCAATCTTTGGGATGATTGAAAGGATTGAGACCTATCCAGATAGGTCTAATGCCCTTCTAATGTCCAGGATGTGTAAGACGGCTTCTTCTCTGGAATGTTGTGGTTTTGGATAGAAAGTCAGAAGGATTATCGGTTCATTGATATGGAATTCTGAGTTCACTTTGAGTAAGGACAGGTGTGACCTCAGAATGATCTTGTGCTTGTGAAAGGTCATGTATGGAGGCAAGGCTGTGAGAGCTGCGAGTTCGCTGACCCTCCTTACAGAAGTGATCACCAGAAGGAACAACGTTTTCATGATAAGAAAGACAAGTGGTGTGGTTGCCACTGATTCAAAGGGTGGTCTTGTGAGTGAATGTAGGACCAGTTGTCCCATTTGGGGGGAATGGGTTTTTGAGGTAGGTGAAGGTTCTCCAGACTCATCCAGAATCTTTTAGAAATGGGATGTGCAAATATGGAGAACCCATCAATGGAAGGGTGGAAGGATATGTGTACCCGGAATGATGAAATTGACAAATTTTGTTGTTTCAGGTGCATGATGTATTCCAGAACTTAGTGGAGCAGCGCCCTGTGCGGTTCAATTGCACTGTGTGTGTACCACTGTGTAAACCAGTGCCACTTGTATAGGTAAGTCTTGCATGTTGTTTCTTTCCTGCTATGCAGCAGGACATTTTTCACTTGTTGGGAGCACTGTTGCTCCACTTCCGAGAGCCAGATAGGTACCATGCCGTCAGGTGTAGCATTTACGGTTGGGGATGAAGTATTGATCCCTGGTTCTGGAAGAGCAGATCTGGGTGGTTCGGAAGCGGGCAGGGAGGTGGTAGAGACAGGTGATAGAAACATGTGAATTATGTCTATTGGGGCCAGGCGGGGGCTATCAAGATCACGTGTGCCCCATCCATCTGTATCTTCCAGAGGACTCTGGGAATGAGAAGAATGGGTGAGAAGGCATATAATAAGTGGGCCCACCAAGTGAGAAGCATCACATCACCAAGGGAGCCGTGTCCTATGCCCACTGTCAAGCAGTACTGAGGGCATTTGGAATTCTATCTGGTGGCGAAGAGATCTATCTGTGGTCACCCCCATCGGTGGAACAGCTCATGGGTGATCTGGTTGTGTAGTTTCCACTCATGTTCTGTGAGGAAGCTGAGGCTGAGAGTATTGGCCATAATGTTCTTGTCTCCAGGCAGGTAATCTCCGGAGATGGTAATGTTGTAGTGGATGAACCAACTCGAAAGCCTGATCTGCACATAGCGACTGAGATCTTGCACCACCTTGGTGGTTGATGTAAAACATAGTTCTCATATTGTTGGTGAGGATATGCACCAAACAGTCTTGGATGTAAGGGAGGAAATGCTTGCATGCGTTACGGACTGCTCGAAGCTCAAGCAGATTTATATGGAGTCTGGACTCATCTTTGGGTCCAGATGATTTTTGATCACCAGAAGGAACAACGTTTTCATGATAAGAAAGACAAGTGGTGTGGTTGCCACTGATTCAAAGGGTGGTCTTGTGAGTGAATGTAGGACCAGTTGTCCCATTTGGGGGGAATGGGTTTTTGAGGTAGGTGAAGGTTCTCCAGACTCATCCAGAATCTTTTAGAAATGGGATGTGCAAATATGGAGAACCCATCAATGGAAGGGTGGAAGGATATGTGTACCCGGAATGATGAAATTGACAAATTTTGTTGTTTCAGGTGCATGATGTATTCCAGAACTTAGTGGAGCAGCGCCCTGTGCGGTTCAATTGCACTGTGTGTGTACCACTGTGTAAACCAGTGCCACTTGTATAGGTAAGTCTTGCATGTTGTTTCTTTCCTGCTATGCAGCAGGACATTTTTCACTTGTTGGGAGCACTGTTGCTCCACTTCCGAGAGCCAGATAGGTACCATGCCGTCAGGTGTAGCATTTACGGTTGGGGATGAAGTATTGATCCCTGGTTCTGGAAGAGCAGATCTGGGTGGTTCGGAAGCGGGCAGGGAGGTGGTAGAGACAGGTGATAGAAACATGTGAATTATGTCTATTGGGGCCAGGCGGGGGCTATCAAGATCACGTGTGCCCCATCCATCTGTATCTTCCAGAGGACTCTGGGAATGAGAAGAATGGGTGAGAAGGCATATAATAAGTGGGCCCACCAAGTGAGAAGCATCACATCACCAAGGGAGCCGTGTCCTATGCCCACTGTCAAGCAGTACTGAGGGCATTTGGAATTCTATCTGGTGGCGAAGAGATCTATCTGTGGTCACCCCCATCGGTGGAACAGCTCATGGGTGATCTGGTTGTGTAGTTTCCACTCATGTTCTGTGAGGAAGCTGAGGCTGAGAGTATTGGCCATAATGTTCTTGTCTCCAGGCAGGTAATCTCCGGAGATGGTAATGTTGTAGTGGATGAACCAACTCGAAAGCCTGATCTGCACATAGCGACTGAGATCTTGCACCACCTTGGTGGTTGATGTAAAACATAGTTCTCATATTGTTGGTGAGGATATGCACCAAACAGTCTTGGATGTAAGGGAGGAAATGCTTGCATGCGTTACGGACTGCTCGAAGCTCAAGCAGATTTATATGGAGTCTGGACTCATCTTTGGGTCCAGATGATTTTGTGGAAAAACCTGCCAGTCTAGACACAGCCTTGTATGTGGGGTGCAATGTGATGTGAAAATAGGCATCTTGAAGTTCGAAGGCTGCAAACCAGTCCACCATCCAGTGCCAGAACTATTGTGGTGAGCATAACCATTTTCAAGCATTGCCTGTGAAGGTATTTGTTTAATTGTCGCAGGTCCAAGATAGGTCTCTAACCTCCTGTTCTCTTTTTGTGAGAAAGTAGTTTGAATAAAACCCCCTCCCTTCATATTTTTCAGGGATCTGTTTTATGGCTCCTATACTGAGAAGGTGCTGAACCTCTTGGCAGAGCAGTGTCTTGTCAGAGGGATCCAAGAAGAGGGAGGGAGAGGGTGGGGAGGTTGGGAGGATTGCCGTGAAGGGGACAGAATAACCACGACTGATGATTTCTAGGACCCACCAATTTGTAGTGATTGCTGCCCACTTATTTTAAAAAGGGTGCAAGTGGTGGTGAAATATATTGTGCTTGCCTGGTACTGTAATTGGGGGGAGGTTGGGCAGACCCTTGATCAAATTTTCAAACATGCTGCCTCGAGGCCTGAGTCGCAGAAGAGTGGTTGTTTGGAGTTCTCTTGCATTGGTTTCATGGTTGGAAGCGGTTTTGCTCAGAGGGTCAGTATTGCTGTTGTCTAGTGAAGGTTGTATCCCTGTGTCTTGGATACAGTGTATAACGCTTTCTTCGAAAAGGGAGAGTATAGATCCCCAATGTGCATAGGAGGGTGCTCGAATCTTTGCTCGAATGCAGGGCTTCACTGGTACCTGCAGCGAACAATTTAGCTTTGTCGAATGGCAGGTCCTTGACTTTGGCCTGGAGGTCCTTAGGGACTCCTGCTGCTTGCAGCCAAGATGAACGTCTCATCACGACGGATGTCGCAGTGGACCTAGCCATGGTGTCTGTGGCATCCAGGGCCATTTGCAGCACCGTACAGGATATAGTGTGACCCTCCTTAATGATCGCCTTGAGGATAGGTCTTTTATCCTCTTCAAGACTGTGCAGGAGTTCTGTTAATTTCGTGTAATTGTCAAAATCATGATTTGCAAGCAGTGCTGTATAGTTAGCTATGCGTAGCTGGAGGGTTAATGAGGAGTGCACTTTTCTCCCCAACACATCCAGGCATTCATGGTCCTTGTCCTGTGTATGTGCTTTGTGTTATGAGTTCTTGAACCTTTGATTGGCAGTGTGAACCACTAAGTAGTTTGGCTGAGGGTGCAGGTAGAGAAAGTCCATACCTTTAGATGGAACAAATACTTCCTATTGACCCTTTTATTAATTGGAGGGAAGTGGCTGGTGTTTGCCATACATTGTCGGCTGCCTCAAGCATTACTTCGTCTAGAGGCAGTGCAATTTTTGATTTTGCAGAAGGCTGTAGTTTCTTTAGTTTGCAGTGTTTCTCCTGAACCTCTTATAAAACTACCTCCTGGCTTGTAGCCACCTTTTTAAATAGGTCCTAGAATTGCTTGATATCATTGGTAGGTGTTGGGTCATTTGGAATAACTGCTTCATCAGGAGCGGAGGATGAATTATCATTGGGTGCTATATCAGACTGGTGGACGGTTGGGTCATCCTTGATCTGTCCTTCCTCTAGATCCAGGCCCTCAGATGGGGAATGTGATGCATCTGAGTGCATGGAAGGCAGTGACCTTTGTGTGGGTGTAGGCAGTGCAGTGGAGGTGTGTCGAGGTGCCCAGTAACGATAGAGGGACCAACGGTTGCAATGAGTGTCATAGTACTGCCAATCAGTGTGCCACAGAGGATATTGATTGAGTGGTGGTCTGTATGCCCCGTAACGCACACATGTCCAATCTGGGGAGGAGAACATGCTTCCTGTATCCCCATGGTAGGCACTGAATTGTGATGAGGACAGTGACCGTGGCGAGCCCTTTGTTCGTAGTGGGGATCATGAATGGTGTCATGGCAAAGGCTCAGGAGGGTCCCAGTCCTCCTGTCATATCTTGGTGGCATTTATGTTTTGCAAAGTGGGGAACGGTGGTGGGATGCAGGCTTGTGACCCACTGCAGTGTGGGTCAGTGCCTGCGGTGGTGGCATGGGTGTAGTTGTGACCCCAGGTGATCTAGAGTTAGTATGGGATACTGGAAGGTAGTTGGAGCTAGCCCTGTCCGTTTTCTGGTGCCATAGGTGAATGTCGTGCCGTACGTTGGCAATGTGCTGGGGATCTTGAGTGTGCCGTGGCGAGCCAGGTGCCATTAATGAGAGTGGTGTCTCGGTCACCCACAGGGCCCTTGCTAGGTGCTCTTTTTGTGGTAGCAGGTTTCGAGGGCTGTTTAGAGCATGTCTTTGAGCCTGTTATTGAGGAGGCTCAAGACTTTGCCATGCCTGAAGTTCCTGGCTCATCTCCTTTGCTAATTCTCGAGGGGAGAGAGTAGGTTGGGTTTAGTTTCCAATTGTATTCTCTGAGGTGGAGGGCTTGGATGTTTGCCCCGAGGAGAAATTGCACTTGAGCCCTTATTGCCCCTTGATAATTATGGGGGTCTAGGGATCTATCCATACACTGTGTGCGTACTGTGAACTCCCTTTCTTTATGAGCTCTTCTTGTGAGGCTATGGCAATGTACACATTTCTGTGGTACATGTGTCCCCCAAGCAGCATATACACTCGCTGTGGGCATCAGAGGCTGGCATAAATTCTCAGCATTTGCCTCATCTTTTCTCTTTAGGAGAGTCTGGCATGTCTCCCAGAAACTAGCTGTACTTGTACAAGCAGAGCTGACTGCTTGTGGGTTGCTAGTTCCTGGTTTTTTTTGTTTTTGTTTTTTTACTTGCCATGGCTTGCCGCTGCACAGCGGTAAAAGCTGGTTGCGGCAGCTTCTTTTGTTGTTGTTTGTTTTCTTTGTAAAGAGAAGAGAGTCCTGTATGGCTCAGGACTGACTATCTATGTTAATAAAGTGGTTCTGCTTTGTCTTGCAGCGTGCATTGAGGAGGAAAGAGTAGTGCTCCGTCTGTGGTCAAGGGCGATGAAGAAGGAACTGAGGAGAAGTAGGCTGCACACTCTATTTCAAAGGTGGGAGCACCGCTCTCTGCTCGCTCATGTGCAGCCCGCCCAATCACTGCTCTCAGAGTCTCCAATCTGTGAGGCTGGGACAAGCCCAACACCAACTGTGGAGCACCCACGGGGACATCACTCAAAGAAGCATATATTGTTACTAATCAGAAAAATCTGAAGAGTTCAATTTAGCTTTAAACAACTTCTCTAAGGTTCAGATTTAAAAGAGAGAGGATAATAGATGAATTCATCAGAAAGCTTTTTAAGATTACCATTAGTGATACAATGTAGCAACAAGAAATCTGGATATTGATAGACATAGTAATAAGAACAACCACAAGCTATACAGTGTATGTGAATACCTAATTCTGCAGTAACCAAAGTCTAGTTGTAAGAATTCAGAATTGTTATTCATGGATTTACTATGACAGCAGCTGTCCATTACTACTGTTGTGACAGATGTGTGCATACTCAAAAGGTCTGATCCAAAGCCTACTGAAGTAAATGGAACTCCCATTCACTTCAATAGGCATTGCATCAAGCTCGCAGAAAGCAGACATTTCCATAAAGAAAAACTTGATGGTGCTTTCGTTTACATTAAAAAGTAGTACAGGCAGTCCCCGACTTACGTGGATCCGACTTATGTCGGATCCCTAGATACGAACGGGGTGAGGCAACTCCCACACATGCGCAGCAGCATTCCCAGGGCTCGCTCACCTGGGTCCTAGGATCCTCCTCCTCCTCGGGCCGGCTCCGAGTGGGGTCCCGCAGAGCTGCCGGGCAGAGGAAAAGTGCCTCCCCACGCCCGCTGCCCCCCCCCTGCCAGCAACAGGCTGCCCCCTCCCCTGAGCAACAGGCTGCAGAACAGACAAAAGCAGCCTCTCTGCCCCTCCTCCCCCCTATACATGCCGGGCTCCCGGAGCGCAGCAGCGTCCCCGGGGCTCGCTCACCTGGGTCCTAGAATCCACCTCCTCCTCCTCTTCGGCCGGCTCCAACTGGCCTCTGCCTGCAGCAGCTGGCCACAGGGACAGGGATCCCGCAGAGCTGCCGGGCAGAGGAAAAGTGCCTCCCCATTGGGGAAGTGCTTCAACGAAAGGTTTTTGTTTTGTTTTTGAGCAAAGGTACAACACAGTGCCCTCATAATTCTTCATTTTGCCTAGGGCAACAGAATGTCTGCAGAACTTTTCCCCCCAAAAGCACAGCAATTTTCTTTGGAATAAAGTAAAGTGTTTAAATTATTACTTAAAATATAAAAAATTATAAGTACAAGCAGTCCCCGGGTTACATGGATCCGACTTACATCGGATCCCTACTTACAAACGGGGTGAGGCAACCCCGCACTAGCTGCTTCCCCCCAGCAGACCAGGGAGATGTGAAGCTAGCGCCCCCTCCCCCCAGCAGACCAGGGAGACGCGGAGCAGTTTTTCTCAGCAGACACCTCAGCTTGAGAATAAAGGACTGAGGGAAGTGAGGTGTGGGAGAATAAAACTGAGCTCTGGAGAAATGTTTGGCTAGAGTTTCCGCTACAATATGTACCAGTTCCGACTTACATACAAATTCAACTTAAGAACAAACCTACAGTCCCTATCTTGTACGTAACCCGGGGACTGCCTGTATACCAAAATACAAATGATAGGTTGTGCTCAAGAGAGGCAAAGAACAGGAACAATGCATTGTAACCAATTCTAATGTGCAGCTGGGAAGCCACATGGGGCAGATTTACATATACTTCCACAGAGAAATGAGACTAGTCAGCACTATCAGTCTTTCATCTTCATATTCATTTTGGAACTCCCCCACCCACCAAAACCTGTAAGATGTAGTGAAAATTTAGAGAAAGTAAAAACATTTTCACACAGAAAATCTTTTTTCAAACATACCTTCAGAGGTTTAGAATTGTGAACCATGTGGAACTATGTGTACCTGATAACAGTTTGTTAAAATGTTGTGTGGGAGTTTAACTGGAATCAAGAAACTAAAAGTCAATGTAGGTTACACAATTAAAGCCCCATATAGCGTTGTGAAAATGTTCTTCCCAGAGTCTGAAATCATTTTGATTTATTACAAGAATCTGGCATAGTATGGAGAGATGGTAGCCACTCGACAGTCAAGGTTTCAATCAGTTTCCATTATAAAGCCCTCTTTTAACCACTGTGTAATTTTAGAAAACTGGTTTGGCCAGGAAATTACTGCATTTATTTTGAAGATAAAGGAAAATGTAAATGCAGTTACAAACCTCCCTGAGAAGACATCTGACTGTGACCCAATCTAGATAAAAAACTACTAAAGACTTTAGGCAATACCTCTTCCAACTTCTTCATTCCGGGTTTCCCCACAACTAAACACTTGGCAGCATATGTCAAATTGACCTGGACGAATGACTACTAAATAAGTAAGGCTGCCAATTTGGGCTGGGATTTTCAAATATACTTAGCACTGATCTGACTGCAGTAAGGCCTCAATTGACTTCAATTGGACTCAAGTTAGACCAGTGTTGAGTATTTTCGCACACATGCACTGACACAAACTGATGAGTTGATGGCACTCAGCACCTTTCAGGGCTGAGCCTTGACATGTATTTATGTAAAACTCTGTCCAAGCAAAATGCTCATATAAACCTACCTGGCGGTTCGGATTTCAATGGTGCCCTTCAACTTTTCTTCATTGTCACTTTCAAAGTACATGAGCCTGGACTGTCTGAGGACAAACCAGCGTTTCTTCCAGTTCCTTCTGGAAAGTGTAGATGATCCACCTCCCTTTTTATGCAGCCAGCCTTGTTTGAGAGCCTCCTGCTTGGAACGGAACCACAGAAAGGTCTCGTCTTTCAAGACACACCAGCGACGCTTCCATGTGTTCATTAAACCACCTGGCAGAAAAGAGAGAGGGTTAACTTAGAAAGTGACTTTAAAAACAAACAGAAAACACCAATTCAAAAAATTTAATCCAATGAGTGTTTCTATCTCAGATAAACTAGTAAGCAAATAACTTTTATTTATAATGAAATCAGGAGACTGAATCAACACTGAAATAGGGAAATTCCTGAGCAATCACTGAAGTGACAGTATTTCTGCCTTTGAACCAAGAAATGATAGATAGATAGATAGATAGATAGATAGATAGATAGATAGATAGATAGATAGATAGATAGATAGATAGATAGATAGATAGATAGATAGATAGATAGAAAACCCACTCTTCAGATGAGATGATCTTCTAGCATTGTAAACCAGCTTTAAAGTGGGTGAATGATTTAAAGAGATCTTATTTTACATGATAAATAAGGCCCCTAGTAGTTTATTCCAACAAAAGCAATGCTGACACCACAACATAATAAATTTAAGTCTATCCAAACTTTCAAAAAGCCTCCTTAAGCATTTAAGTTTGCAATGAGCAAATAATGGCAAACTAAAAACCTAAAGAGCAGGTATAGTTAAGGAAATGGACTCTACAATGGAAAACTCTGCAGCTTTATTTATATTAGCACAGCTGAAGCACCATAACTCTCATAGGGTACATCAACAGAGCAGGGCAAAAGTCAAATTAAGATACACCATTTCAGCTGTGTTAATTGCGTGGTGGAAGTTGAAGTACCTTAACTCAGCTTTAGGCACTGCCTACACAGCAGGAAGTCAAAGGTAGAACAGTCTTCCTTCGACTTCCCTTACTCCTCGTGAAATGAAGGTTACAGGAGACAGAGTAAGAAGCCCTCCATGTTGACATTATTTTGAAATAATGGCTTGCCGGGTAAACGCGCACTTCATTTCAAAATAACGTCAAATATTCCAAAATAACACTACTGTGTAGATGAACCTATAGTGTGGCTGCAGTTGTCTATTATATATTTGAGAGAGTTAGTCTGTGAGCAGGTGAGTCTTTCTGTTTGTCCATTTGTCCAAGAACTCCTCCTAAACCACCAAATTTGGTATGTAGCGCTTCCTCTTATCATAATTGAAAGCAAGGTCAGGGTTTGGTTTTTGCCACGAAAATGAGCTGTACCTAGAATGGGATGCAGAAAAGAGACAGAATCACTAGGCAGGTGAAAGAAGCTGGCTGGGGGTATCCTCCCCCATCCAGAACTGCCCCAGCCCTGAGCCTCCCACACCCGAAAGACTATTTAAGAAGGGCGAGAGAGGTCTGCAGCTTCCCCACAGTTCATACAAGGACATTACTGGCTGTTCCCTTTCATCAGGGAGCAAAGGGGAAGTGCACAGTTTGATCCTTTCCTCAGTCGGGCTGGGGAGCACAGGGAGCAGATAAACCAGCACCTGCCCAAGACATGCACTCCTCCCCTGGCTGTACTGCCTGGAGCTGCAGCAGCCATGGAGAGGCCCTTCTCACCTGGCCCCAAGCTGCTTGCAGTGATAAGATGATTGGGGAGATCCTCTCTCCCTGGGACAGCCTGCATACTGAACTCCTCATCCTCAGTCCCACCCCAGATTACTGATTTAAATGATTTAAATGAAGAAAAAAAAATTAACTGAGTTAAAGACCTGAACAATGCTACTAGTGCCAGTATAAAAGTGTTTACACTGATACAGATTATTATGATTTGAGAACCAGGGACTAACTGCAACCCCACTAGGATTTTTACTAAAATATAACAAAAAACCCTCAAACTCCCCCCCCCCCCCAAAACTTTTGAAGATAGATCAGGCTTTTAGCCTGTGATGGATAGGAGGAGTGATGGCCAGCATTTGGTGACTAAAGGTTTAAACTCAGCTAGCTAGGGGGTGTTGGAGCCAGGAGAGCCAATAGGAAAGGGTGTTGAAATGTGAATTGAAAAGATACACCTGCCTGCTGTTTTCTTTATAGGAGTTTTTAAGCTAGGAGCTGTGGAAAACAAGATGAAATGAACCAAGTAGAACTAACATGCCTACAAGAAATACTGGGCATGGAAATGGACTAGGACTTGAAGCACGGATCGTGAGTAGATAAGAAAATGTATATTTAGTCACAATCAGGTTATTTTCTTTGGTTTTGTTGTTTGGTTAAACTTCTCTGTGCTAAGTCCATGTGTCCCCCGACACATTCACTATATCTAAGCTGTAGCCCAGAGATATCATATTTCTCTATGTTTTAATCTGTTCTTTTCTCAGTTGCTCTTTAACACCTACCAACCAAGTATGCTTTATCATGTATATCTTTTTGTTTTGTTAATAAAATCACCTTTTCTTTTTAAGGCAATGATTTGATTCTTGTGTCCTGGAAGATAATAGGAGGTCTGTGTATGCATGACTAAGACTGAGAAGTCAGCCATCAAAGATTGCAGTTTGTTTTCTCTTTTTTTTTCTTCAAGCTTTCTTGTGGTAAAAGAGCTTGGCGGTACCCCTCTGGAAGAAGTTCAAGTGTTTCTTCCTGGGTCTAAGAAGAAGGGAGTTTTCATTTGATGGTGGCAGCCTATTTCCCAAGGCCAGGGAATCTGTGACGTTGGGGAGCTCTTAAGCAGAAGCCTATAGAGGCAAGGTATTTTTAAGGTATCTTGTGGACCTCCACCTTCTGCACTTGGAGTGCCAGAGAGGGGAACAGCCTTGACAAAGCCATTCTGCATTCATCACCTTAACATACACCCACACCTGCACACAAATACCTCACCAGCTAAACCCTGAGCAAATCAACACAAATCAGTCACAGTCATAATGCTAACACAAACCCAAACAACCTTAACTCTTCCCATTGTAGGATGGCTATGTTCCTGAAGGATGGTTACTCATTAATTTGGCTGTGATTTATATCTGATATGCCCTCTGGAACTTTAACTGGTTTTAAGGATTTCTGGAGGGCAATATCGGACTTGAGAATGAAATTATGTTGTAATTACTAAGGAGAGATGATATGGTATTACATAGGATACGTCTAGACTACATGCCTCTGTCGCCAGAGGCATGTAGATTAGGCTACCAGACATAGTAAAATGAAGCGGCGATTTAAATAATCGCTGCTTCATTTAAATTTACATGGCTGCCGCGCTGAGCTGACAAACAGTGATCAGCTGTTTGTC